ATAGAATTATCATTTTTTATATGAATATGATCAATTCTTCATTTGTACGAAATTTAGAACATTTACCAAACTGAATTTAAAATTTTATTGATTTTGTGTCCGTTCGATAGTGATTATGATAATTGATTTTTTGACTGTTAGGAAGAAAAGTAGGGGCCACCTGTGAATGAAGAAGTCAAAAATGACGGTTAAAATAGTGAAATAACAGTCAAAAAATCAATTTTTTTAGGTGAAAAAAGCACTACCAAACATGTGCTTAATTAGTTATTTTTGGCACCTGGTTCGACTACAATTCAATCCTTTTGACTCTTGACCCTTTTCATCTCTTTGTTCCTCCATATCCTAATCTTACAGGAAAAATACGATTGTTGCAAAAATCAGAACTTTTTTTGTTCTAACAGTTAAGAAAATCATCATTTGCCTTCTGTTTGTATGCTTGCTGAGAGTGACAAGGGAAAAGCACTTTAAGGTGAGTGACACTAACCAGTCATGAAACCTACCTCTATTTTCTTGTTTGGAAAAAGTGTTTCTTCCGCAAAATATAACAAAATTTTAATTAAATGGACTGTTAAAACTGATAGCTGTATTGTTTAATGATTTTCTTTTTCCGGTTACATGTTGGCTCAATTCAGAGAAGTTATGTTTTTCTCTACATTCGTTGCTCAATTTTAATCACATGTTTAGAACCCGGTCAAGACTCGAGAGCTTGAAATCAGCAATGGATCTTCTGTTAAAATTTGGGCAACGGCAGGACCAGTTCAAGGTCCTCCATGGCAGCGTCCAGAGAATGGGTAGATTCTATAATGCTCTTATGTCCTTGTAGGTTCATTGGGTTGAATCACTGAATCTAAAGTTTAAGCGATTTCGAGAGAGGAGACATTAGTGTACTTGTTTAAATTTAGTCCTCAAGCGTTCATGCTGTTGGTCGGCTTTGTTATTTATCGAATGTCTAACACACATGCTCAATTTTCATAAACGGCTGACAATGAAACTTGAACATAAAATCTCTATGTGCTCTAAATACCATGTTAAACATAAACGGCTGACAATGAAACTTCAACATAAAATCTCTATGTGCTCTAAATACCATGTTAAACCTCTTCATCTAAAACCGGAACATATTAGAGACTGTACACATTTATATATTTAAAATATTGAAACACATAACTCATCAAACGGTTACTTTTTGCAATTTGGCTTCTGTTTTGGGTTCATTGTCCCCATGAAAAGCGAGGACCTCAATAGCAGAGAGCTTCTTTCGACTCTTATTCAGGCTGGAGGAACCATAGGATCATTCAAGGTATTATTTTTGCAACTCTTTTCTAAAAGCAAGTAGTTATGAATATATTGTAAAGGCAAAAGGTTGTGGCATTTCACCTTTCCTGAGGCAGGGCCTGAGCCTCATGAACTTCAAAATTCATTGTATATAAATAAAAAAGCTTGCGATTTTTTGTTGGAATGTGGAAAAAAAAAGTACTATTCCATGATGATCTTTGTTGTCTTGCATAATTTGCAAACGATCACTTGATTAAGTATTAGTTTATATTATGTAAATTTCATTTCTTTGTCGCTATGGGAAATTTTGTCAAAAGAACTATCAAATGCAAAATTGCTAGAGCCTACTCCAGTGGTCACATTGAATATTTCATCGACTGTGGATTCACAGCGTAGAACTCTTTCAGTTTCCTATAAATACATATACTTAAACAAAAGGACTGTATTTTTGAAAATCGAAAAACATTCGAGGAAAGAAAGGAGAACCTTATGTAAATGGGTGTCAATATGAGCTGAATTTAGTAGGGTCCTTGACAACTGGGATTAGAAGACGAATATTTTTACAGAGTTTTCGAGTGTTCAACAACTATGAATATGCAATTAATTAAGCGCGTCAATAATAGATATATAAATACATTGGATAAGGTGATAAAAGATGTGCTTATCTCAACAAATATTTCCGTAGGACTAGATATATACTATAAAATGTTGACCCAGGAGATGAGCACCAATACATGTGTAATGTAGTTAGGTCAAACTAAAATAATCTCCAACTTGAGCAATGTCCTAAAATGATTTGTATCCTCTATACATGTCAAAAATGGGTCTATTCCTCTGTGCTTTCGAAGAATCCAAGAGACATTTGGCCCGACATTCACTCCAAAGGCCGTTTATAAAAAAATTTAAGAGAAATTTGGGGTAAAATCCTGGTTTATCCATTAGATCCCATGGATTCTTTAGAGTGGAATAAAAATGCATGAGGTCTAATGCCATAAACAAGAATTCAAATGAGGGATAATCGTGGTATATTCGTTACGTTTAATTGAACCATTCAAATTAGAAAAATAATAAGTACATAACTTAGGGTCTTTTTTATTGCAAAGATGAAGGAATTTTGGTGGAAAGAAAACGAATTAAAGGGAATTGAATTGTCCAGAATTTGTTTTAGTGGGAGTTACCAATTAATAGTGTTTGATTAGTATAATTTTTCATCTAAAAAATGTTAAAATAAAAATGTCTTTTGATTTTCGTTTCGCTTTGTTTTTCATGAAAATTGTCAATTTAAGGGATATTCACTTCTACAATTGTTCCTATAATTTGTTTCCATTGCAAAAAAAAAAAAAAAAAATCATCCATATCTTGGTATTCGTTTGACTTTATTTTACATGAAAATTGTCAATTTAAAGGATATCATCTTTTACAATTATTCCTAGAATTTGTTCCCATTTCCAAAAATAAAAAAACAAAACTAAAAAAAATGTGGAAAATCAATTCTCACCATGTGCTTTTCCTTGTTTTCATGGAAAATGCATCACGTGAGGTAGAAAATGGAAAAGAAATTTGCTTAGAAAATTTTACACATCAAACACTACAAAAAGTTGGAAAATGGAAAATGTACCATATCAAATGGACCCTTAGTTTCAATCTTCCGTGATAATCTTGTCTTTAGTCCAATGAAGTCGTTGATTCCGAGGGATTGACCCCAATTGACATGTTAAAAAATGGAGGTCTCGACTGAGCTTGATAGATGGGAACTCCTGCTTTGGCTATAGTTGTCATCTCTAAACAAGATTCCAACATCTATCTTTTATATTTCCTTATCAAGTGAAGAATGAATGTTTTTCAAGTGAAATGCCTCATAAACTCTAAGGCTAAGCAATATGTATAAATTCGGCATTCCGCGAACTGAAATCAACAATTTAAGTAATCAAACCTATGAAGTTTGATTTTCTTGTCTTTAATGTAGGGCTTTAATAATTAGAAAAAGACTAATAATATCTAAACTCAATAAATAGATCCGACGCGTTTAAGCTCTTTAATTGAGTGTTTTTAAGCCAATATTCAAGTATTAAGAACATCTCACGAAGACTTGTCATAACATAGTTTTTAGTTCTCGATTTTATGAAAATCTTCAATCCATTCTATGTTTATTCATTAGCCAACACCTACCTTACCTATTATTAATAGGATCTAGGATAGGTCAGCTTAAATACAGAAGCCAATTTTAAGTGGTTAATGCTATTTGTACACAATTTTTTGTACGACATGCTTGGCATTACCCTTGTTTTCAACAAATGATTGGGTGGAAAGAATTTTTTTTTTTGTTAAACTGTCCAATGGTGTGTTGTCACGTGGCAAAGTGTAAAACTTGGTATACACCGTAATGTACATCATGCATGATTGATTTAACGTTTAAGTAACTTTTTTAAATTATTATTTTTTTGTTTTTACGAATATGCACTAGCAACCATTTAATTCTTAAATGACCCTAATGTTGCTCTTAAATTTATGGGTTGAGTCACTCAAATTATGTGGACTAATGTTATAAACGGTTTAGTTTGTTGTCACTGGAAACCAATTGATTTTCAGATAAGATGGTTAAAGTTCAATTCTAATAAGGAGCAACAATGCTGCTCTTAAACTCATGCGTTGGGTTACTCAAATGAGGTGGTCGAATGTTATAAAAGAATTAGCATGTTCTAATTGGATATTAATTTTCAGATGAGATTAAATTTTGATCCTAATGAAATATATTATTTGAATAGAACGTAAAGTAATTAACCCTTGTCAGATGGAATCCAGTACCAAAGACAATAATGTAATGGTATCTTAGAGAATGCAAAGATTCATAATAGATCCGAATATCTTTCCTCGTGTCTAGAAGAAGAAAATATAAAATAATTAAGAATAGTACTTCACCCAATGAAATCATAACTTAATTAGCCCATTAATTAGTAATTGACTAATTCTTATCTATATTATACTAAAATACAATGATGCATTTGCCTCTAATGCCAAGAATATTCTTGGATGGGGCCCATTAATTCTTAAATTGACACTTTACAAATTCTTAATTTTTCTCCACAAATTAGAGGGGCATCAAACCAAAGTTCGTATTTTACATTTGTTGGCATCATATCATGGAATTATAATCACTTTTTTTTTTTTTTTTTTTTTTTTTTGTTTAGCCATTTTGAAAAAATCAATGTATTTGTTTCACCTTAAAAATATTTCGCGAAAATTTTCTTTCATGGCTTACTTGATAGGAAAGCTAAAGAGAAATCTATTTGTTAAGCAAAATTGAATGAAGAATAGCAACAAAGGATGTGAAAGTCTCATCTATAAAGATTATGAACAACTACTGAATAATTATCAACTAATTTGAAAAATTCATTTTCAACTCGACGTAATGAACAAGAATTGAGCAAAAACTTAACTTTATCACCATATTTTTTTATCGTAATTGAATTTTGTTAATACTTTCGTTATTAATAAAACAAGTCCCTAACTGAGGCTGATTTATATTCTAATATATATAAAGAAGCGTTCCTCCTATACAAAAATTTGACAAGTATTTTTGACAAATAATCGTGTCTTTTAAATAAAACAAATCCAACGATTAGTATCTCACGAATCTCTCATGATCCTAGTAAAATACATAGACACGACCACTATTGATATGTCACCGCCTTTATTTTGATATCAGTACAATGGGAAATTGCAAGTATTTTAATCAATTTGACTGTCATTATCAATGTGCATACCTCCAAGATAATATAAACTAAAAATAAAATGCAAGAAAAAGGGCCAAAAATCAACTCTACATTTTCCTCAATAGTCATTCGTACAACAAGATTACACCAGTCAATATTGCAAAAATCTACATTTTCCACACGCACAAATCAATAAGCCAGGGAGGCAGTGGTGGTGTGAGTGGACGAGGAGGTGGCCGGGGAATGAGAATGAACTCGGCCTTCGCTATGGCTGCCTTGATCATCGGAATTCGACTGATTATGTTTAGGGGGCGATGATGTTTCATGGAAGGGTGGTGGCAGTGCAGGAACAGACGCATAGATTCCATTAGAAGTGGTGGCGACTACCGGTGCCTTCCCAGATGCCATTGCAGCATATTCCGGTGGTGGCACCCAAATTCCTCCCACCACCACAAACTGTGGCGCTTGTGGGTTGTTATTGTGAATTGAAGAAGTAGGCCTCCTTGTGTGCAATCTATACTTCTGCAATTAATTATAAATACAAAATATTTAGGCCATGCTACCTTTAATCGACAGATATAACAGAAGAAGAATCAAGAATCTTGTCAAGAGAGCTTGTAGTCAAGAGCCTTCTTTCACAAGCACAAATAATTATTCCCATTTCTACTCATTTAGTCTTTCCTTCTAATGAAAGTTTCCTCCAAATTCCAAAGTGATTCTCTAACACCAACAAACTAATGAGTCTTTCTGTGATAAGTTCAGGATCAACTGCATGAATAACTTTAGCTTTATCCATCAATTGAAGAATTTTCACGTTTCAAAGAATTGATAGCGTCAACTTTACATCTACTAGAAGATCCAAAGTCAGTAAATTCTTGGCAACTACGGCAAACCATAGTAAAATTCCGAGTGATTATCCACCACTTAGATACTTGACCAAGATTTAAGTGCGCCACTACTTTTCATATTCCGAAGAAAATTTCTCAAGACAAACCTGTAAATGACTTTTGACTTCATCGTTTGTGAGGCCATCAACGTTCATCAAATCCCTAATTTGTTTAGGTGTAGCAACTGCATAAATTACAACCAATTTGAAAAATCAAAAGAAAAATTCAGTCAAATGGAAGCAATAAAAAAAAAAAAAAAATCATAATCAAAGTTTTAATTTCATGTTACTTAGGAGATTGATTACCATGTGAACCACCAAGTTCTTGAAGGGCTTGTATGAATCTTTTATGTAACTCAGGTGACCAACACCTCCTTGCCTTTCTTTGAGACTGCCCTTCCTTCTCTTCCTTGTTACTTCCACCACTCCCACCGCCAATGCTACCACCAGTCTCCACCGAAGAACTGGCTGCAGCCACCGGTGCCGCCCTATTCATTGGCCCTTGTATATTACCAGTCGTAGCACCACTAGTGCCAGCACTTTTCTCTCTCTTAAATGGATGAAATGCACCTCCACTTCCATCTCTCTTCACCTCCACAACTGACACTTTTCTTGGTGAATCCTACACCAAAATAAAAAATAAAAAATAAAATCAACCTCTATCAAAATTAACTAAACCCCAATTAAAAAGAAAAAAAAAGAATAAAAATTTTCTAAAATGTAATTTTATTTTTTTAATTTTTTATGAACTTACGTCTTTGAGGGGTGGATCTGGAGTTTGATTCCACAGTTGAACAGATCTAAGCCAATCTGATTTCTTGGAACTTTTTTCGCTCCCGTTAACATTAGTATAATTTTTTGGCTTCTTATAGTGTTGTTCTTCATCATCAGTATCTCTCTTAATAGGAATAAATTCTTCCAAAACTGGCCCTTCAGTTGACGTCTGCTCAGAACATTCAGATTGCCCGTGTAAATTATACTCAGTTGATGTTCCAGATAACTGCTGCTTGCATGCCTCAATTGCTGCAAAAATACCAAAATCCCACATGCAAAAAACATTAAAAAAACAACAGAAGTGTGTTTTTTTCGAACATAGAACCAGTATAAACATAGGTTACCTTGAGTGACAAGCTCAAGACAAAGAGGGAGTTCACGTTGGAATACTTGGATCTTACAACGTTCTGCTTCCAAGGCCTTTATATAATCTTGACATCTCTGCACTTTCTCAGAATAATCACCGTGATTATGGCTGTCTATCACCATTTTTGCGATTCTTTATTTTCCTTGATCTCTTATACTTTTTCTAACACGATTATTGAGATGAAAATTGGGATTAACTTGACTTTTTAGAAGCGGTCGGGTAAGGCTTTTGTCATGGCATAGAGGGATCCGAATGAAAAATGAGTGAGAATAAAGGGATCTTGGTGGAATCGAATAAACTTGGTTTACAAGAAAATAATCATATACAATTACTGTATATTTCTATATATACACATCATAGTTAAGACAGAGAGAGATGGCTGTATTTTTCATTTTTAATTTTTACTTTGGGCTAAGGTGGAGAAAACTGGGGGTGCGTGGTCTGTCGATTTCGTGGCGTCGCGTACAAACAAATCTTTGATCATGAGGTCCTTGGGGGTGAAATACTGAAATTGGCCCCGTGTTCATCTGCGCGCGTGTGAGAGAGAGATGGGAAGGGTCGTGGTTTGGACATTGGAGAAGTGAAGTTATATTCTTGTATGTATGTGGGCTGGCATTGACGTAACGCATTATATTTGTAGATAAGATCAAGGACCTACTCTACTCCTTTTCTCTCTCTAAAAAATGGAAATCTCCATTTCGCCCTCGAGGTTTTTCATTTTGGAAATTATGCCCCGTAGTTTATGATTCATAAAAATATGTTATTGTTATTGTCACTTTACACCACTTTATAATAATTTTTGATTCTTCTGTTTTCCATGAGAGTATGAGTTGACTGAGCTTTCAAAGAATTGAATTCTCTGGTCTAGAATTCTCTGGTCTAAAAGAAATATCGTTTTTATTGTTGCAACCTTCTCGACCATTATTATTTTATTTTTTACGTATTTCGTTGCAATTTAAGATGATCAAGTACTTTACTATAGATAATTTCTCTTTTATTCTCACTACGGCATACGTAAAATTGATCTACAAAACACCAAATGTTGCATAACCATTTGGGTTAACCATAAAAGTACTCTTCTTGTTATGTGCTTGAGATCGAGTCAGCTGTTAAAATGAAGATCATCTGGACAAGACCAAAATTGACAACAAGCCCATGTAAGAATGGGTCGTAAGCTTTATATGCAATTTTGCGCTAAGTCCACTTTACTACTACGATTTTCCAATATGCTAAATACGAAACCTATAAAATCCAATCGACTAGTACGAAGTAACCAAGTTATTTGTTCACCATAACTGGTTAGCAATTAGCCCTCCAAGGAAAGCAGATCAATCACCTATCCCATAATTGGAATTGGACTCAGTGCCTACATTAACAAGCTTGAATTAAGATAAAATTCAAAAATAGATTTAGTTTCATGGCAAAAACCACAATTTAGAGCGCAATGTTTTAAGGATGGACGAATAGAAAATAAATGCAAGCAATCTACAATACTCATACAACTTATCTCATTTATTTCTCCATTCTATTCTATTATTAGTTTGCAAAATCTAATGTTCAGCATCAAAGTATGTCTAATCTTCGAACAAAAATTTTCAAAGAAACTGTTGCATTTGTCATCAAAAAGTTAAATTGATGTTATTACCTTTATGTAGACTTTAACGCTTTTATATATATATATATATCTCCTAATAGGAAAATTTAATTTAGGTATCAAACTTGAACAACTAAAATATTGAATAATCATTTCAAGGAAATGATTATATAAAAGGGGACAAAGGAGAGATAAGGATTAAATTGAACAACAATAAAATTGTGAGGTTTAAATTTAATTTAGGTATCAAACTTGAACAACTAAAATATTGAATAATCATTTCAAGGAAATGATTATATAAAAGGGGACAAAGGAGAGATAATGATGAAATTGAACAACAATAAAATTGTGAGGGACAAAATTGGAATATTAAATGACCCCACTCTACCTCACTCCACACCTCTCTATACAATGTCTACACATTTTTCTCTCTCCATAGACTCTTAAGACAAGACTTGTCTCTTTTTCTAATTTTTTTATTCTTTAAGATGGAATATACTCGTAGTGGGTTTGACGAATCACGAGAAAAATTGGAGATAGAAAAGAATCTTCGGCCACAGCGTGTTGATACGCTCTGTCACATCCGTATACGACTAGGTTTTGTCATTAATGGGACAGGTTTGGGAAAATGACAATGGCTTTTGAGCTCTCGAAGCGTTAGCCTTATTGATAAATCTTATTACACTCGCTTAATTTGACGTCCAGTGCACGGTCCAATCATTACAAGACAAAGAGTCTTTATAGTTTTAATCCCTCATATCACAAGGTTCAAGATTCGAATATTCTCTTCCAGGCTATTTATTGGAAGCTCTCGTTCCGTCTTGTTAAAGAATCGGGACGAGGATGAAGAATATGGTCCTCGATTCCATTTTTGAATTCTCATTCCGAGTTTAAAGAGTTAATTGTCTGTTTGGTACTGATTCTTAGATCAATTTTTTGATCGTTAAAGAAAAATCGATTATATTTGTGAGTGAAGAAGTAAAAAATGATGGCTGATCATGTTAAGTAACGATCAAAAATTAATTTTTTTGACTTGAAAAATCTGAACAAATCGGAGCTACATGTTAAAATAAATGAGATAAGATATAAGAAATTTATAATAAATGAGATTCAGATGTTTATTATTGATGTATAGAATGACGTGGAGAAGATTTTGCTTATGCCATGAATCCAATTTAAATTGATAAATAATTAGTTATAATTAATAGTTAAAATTTAATTAATGGGTACTTTGCAGTCGCTATATAAGTCCTCATTTGGTCCTCATTTTTTTCAAATTTTAATGGTTAGAAAATAAGAGAGAGAGAGAGAGAAGAAAAATGAAAAAGAATGAGTAGAGAGATGGATGCATTTAATTGTACTAAAAAAAATTATAATCATATTCATGTCACTTATAATATGAATATTTATCTGTTATGGGAACAATCCATATACACAGAATTTGGACTTCTGTAGAAAAATAAATTTTTTATTTAAATTAGTGAATTTTGGCCTATAATTTGCGTAAGTTATATGGGGATGGTAACGAGAGGGGTCGAGATCCAGGATAATATTCTCATTAAGTATTTTTGTCTTCTTGCCCCGCTTTTATACTCAATTAATGCCCTCCCACCTTGTGTATCCGATTAGACGAGAAATATCCATCCCATTCGAGACAAGCCCCATAAAATATTGGGTTTATTGGATTTCTTAGGTTATATGTGTCATTTAAAGATGAAATTAAAACATACTTCTTCACAAATAGATAATTATATTGTAATTTATGTTTTCAAATTTATTTTTGAGATAATATAATTAGATGAAATTATTATCTGACACGGGACAGTGGCGAATCTAGGATGTTGAGTCAACACGAACGGTCGTACGGTGGCTAGGCTCGGCCCATAAAAGCACGAGCTCAACTCGTCCAAAAATGGGCGAGTGAGCTCGTGGGCCGAGCTGAGCCCAGCTCGCGAGCAGACGTTGTTTTTCCTTCTTTTTTTTTAAAAAACAAATAGGTAAATTGGAAAATAAAAAAGTAATTTTAATTTTTAAATCGTGAATTATATATAAAAAAACTAGTTAAAAAATTTAAACCCTCCTCTTTTATCCGGGTTTTGGACCGGCTACTTAAATTTAGAGTAAACGGAGTTAAAAATTGTGTTGTTTGTTTGTTTGTTCGTGTACAATTTTTTAAAAAAATTTAAAACATTATTAAAAATTATTTTTTCAAGTAACACTGCGCGTCCCCTTACATATAATTTTTGAAATAAATCCCTTCTAAAAATTGAAAGGGTAATCGCATGCTCTTTCAATTGCCAGAAGTTTTCACTTCGAAGATTATATAAAAGTATTTCACTTCAAAGATTATATATAATATTTGAAGTGAAAAACTTCTGATAATTGAAAGGGCAATCGCAATTTTGAGAAGGAATTTACTTTGAAAATTATATGCAAAGGTACGCACAGCGTTGTTCGAGAAAAGAATTTAAAATGTAGATATATAGTAGTAATAGTACCAAGTACTAACAAAAATTTAACTAAATTGGTGGAATGAAATTTTTTTTCTTTTTTTTTTTTAACTAAAAGAGATAGAAAAAATAAAAATGAAATCTTTATTTTTTTATTTTTCTTTTTAAAATAGATAAAATATAAACCATCCTCCTTTATCCGGTTTTGGGACCGGTTACTTAAATTTTCAGTAGACGAAGTTAAAAATTGTACACGAACAATTTTTTGTAGCGTGTACAGTTTTTTAAAGAAAATTAAAAGTAACGATAAGAAAAAAAAGTTTCATCAATACAATTAAATCAAATATCACTTACTTGACGACATACAATTTCGGCATATTTATCTTGTAGTCGAAAATGAGCGTTCTGTTAATCCTTAACGCACATTAACGCTTCTAAAATATCTTCTTTCAGTCGGTTCCTGACCTCGCTCAAAACTCTTTTACCTGCACTAAAAGCAGACTCCGAAGCAATAGTGCTAACCAGAGGTGTCAGCAGATCTTTTGCAATCACGGATATAACTGGCCAACGTCGTTCATACTTTCACCAGAATTCAATTACTTCGTCTAAATTTTTTTTAATTGTTTTATCTGTTAGCATATTGTGGTTGAAATAATCAATTAATTCAGCAGGCAAGCATTATGGTTTGAGCCCGTAGATGTTTGATGAGAATGAGATACAGATGATGACGACATGGCAGTGGTAGTAGATGAACACATTGCAGATGAATCATATCTATACGAATTAATGCCTTGAAATAAATAAATTAAATATTTTCGCATCTTTTTCTTCAATTTCAGTGGAAGGAGTAGGTGCAGATGGTACCCGACTAATATTGGTACTCATTCGGTTCGTATATAATTCATACATTTCACATAATGTTTGCTCTAAATTTCTATATGTGATAGGGGTATCAAATGTTAAGGTGTTTGAATTTGATCAATTATATATTTAGTTCTTGATAAGCCCCTGTTTGGCCCCCATTACGGGGAAAATTTAATGTATAGAATAGTGTGTTTTGAAAAATGAGTGGTTGAAAAAGAAAGAAAAATTTTCGATTTACGTGTAATATTATTTTATGGAAGATTGTGTGGTTGAAAATAGGAGAGAGAAAAATAGAATGTAATGTAATGTAATGTAATGAAAATCAAACAAGGGCTAAATTATATCGGGGATTCATCACGCATACTAAAGGAAATAAGGTGTATCAAATGTTAAGGCGTTTGAAATTTGATCAATTATATATTTAGTTCCCGATAAATTATATCGGGGGTCTATCACGCATACTAAAGGAAATAACATAATCATCACGCATACTAAAGGAAATAACATAAGCAAATCTTCCCAATATTTTCTAA